CAAGAGGTGCGATACTCAATACAAATAAAATTTTATCTCACAATAACGTGCTTTTGATCACTAGCAGCTTAGCCTTTCTGAACATTTCTCATTTCTAATTTGCAGAACGATAGACTTAAGCAGTTGGCTGTAAAGTATGAAGAGAATGTTAACAGTCTGCATGAGGCTCTTGAACAAGAGCATGAACGCAAAACCGAAGAAAACAATGCCTTGAAAGCGGAACTGGCCACGGCGCAGGTTGATTTGCCATTTTCGGCAAGTATTCAGTGAAGCAGTGGCTTAGACTTTTTACTTTCAGGAGACATCACAGTCTTTGCGTCGGGATATCGATAAATTCCGCCAAGAGTACAATTCAAAAGAAGCAACTATACGCCAGTTGCGGGAGCAGTATGAGACAGCCCTTGAGAATGTGAGAGCGTTGGTAAAACATTAATTGTTCCACATAGTCCATTCGTTACAGAATGCTCACATGGCGCAAATCGTTGCTGAACTGGAACAGGTTACGAGAGAGAAGCAAAGACCTACGAGAAAGACCAGTGAAGATAGTGTCATGACGGTGGCGGTGCAGCCAGAGGCGCCTAGAGCTGAGGTAAGATTGAAATCTCAAACGGCAGTCTTAAAGGCAGTGTCTCGGCTTCCAGTTTTCCACCTTTTCGGAGCCTTCTCGCTATGAGGAACCCATATATGGGCTTTTTAGCGCATGAAAATGGCGAAAATGAGCTTCTTCCGCAGTCCCAGGTCCACATTTGGTGGAGAATACGTGTAAGTGGGCGGGCCCGGAATCGGGGGAGGCGGAGCGCGAAAGACCACCGGGTATCTTCACTGAATGGACTTGAAAAGCCTTCGAAAAAGCTTATTTTTGCTATTTTTATGCGCTGATAAGCCCAGATATGGATTCCTCATAGCGAGAAGGATCCGAAAAGATGACTGGAAAACGATCTGCGGGGACACGGCCTTTAACCGCACATGAGATGCAAAGAACCAGCTTAACTGACAGTGATCAAATTTCAGCTGAAGACACGAGATTCGCAAACGGATATGACGAGGACTGCTTTGGCGCAGATCGAGTTTGACTCCGTCTCCCTCTCTTCTGAAGTAAAAGCTTTCCGCTCAGCTTACATGGAGTTAGCGACAGCTATCGGTGAACTAGTGGTCAAGGATATCAACAACTTACCAAGCCCTGGGTAGATAACTTCATGAATGTGTGTGATTTTCTAAATACACTTTTCGAAATTGCAGAGATTTGAATTCTATCGAGAAAAGCTGCAAAGAGTTGTCCAGATTTATTCGGCATGAAAAGCGTAGACGTGATCAACAAGCTGTTGAAATAGCTGAGGTTACTGAGAAAGTCAAAAATCTTCAAACTAGAGAGTGAGTTTTTTTTTTGCTGTTTCCATGATTTACAGAAAATATATATCTTCTACAGAGCATCTGGTGATACGGCTCTACGGGATGTGTCGCAAGTAATTCCCGCTGATCAAGCTAGATCCGCAAGTGGTGGTACCCAGAAAAGTGAGTTATTTCTGCTGTTGGTTTGGCTCAAAGGCAGTGAATCGCCGAAATGGAACCATATTGAATTCGGGT